CAAGTGTGAAAATAATTTGGGGTTTGCGAGACAAAGTTATATCGAATCACATTACATCCACCCCATCAGAGCGTCAAGAGCCTCTGTCTGTGACACCCGCCACTGCGCTAATCTCTCAGCTCTGCTTCTCCTCCCCCCACACACAAAGGATGATTACGTCTTATAGAATACATGTTGTCATTTTAACTCATAATTAAGTTCATTATGCAGTTGCCTCATATCGTCCTCATAGCTTTATCATATAACAACTATTCTTTAACTAAATGTGAGGGATCCTTGCCAAAACAAAGTGTTTGCATAAGTTCAACTAATATGGCAATATTGGATCATTGCCATAAAAAAAACTAATTGTTGAAACATCCACAAAGGATCATAAGAGCAAACATTACATAAAAAGATGTAATGTGCAGAGGCGTCTTAAACTATCATTCTGACTGATTCTATTAAATGATAAGGAATTGAATTTGATTTGTATTTTTACACTATTACTTTGTGATTTCATTGTATTTAGGAAGACTTTCAATTGGTAACATACCTTCATATCAAGATCATGTTAGATCAAGCACCAGAGTAAAACTAGTAACAAGTCTACAGCCATTCTAGCAGCTCTGTGAGGCTATATTTTGGTACAGTGGTACTTTGAGCTAAATGCTAACATGCTTACAATAACTAAAAATTACCTTATTTTTCTAGTCTCTCTTTGTAAGTCCTGATTTTTATTGGCAATTTATCTTTAATAATTTATCATGTTTGTATCCTGATTGTCTATTGTCTGAGTTGTTTGTAGTTTTTATGTTTTGGCAAGAAGATTGTCTTGTCTTTTACGGCTGCCACATGTCATTTGGTTAGCAAGTATGTAAAATGTGAATTTTCTTCATCAATCAACATTATTTGTGTGTGTGTGTGTGAGAGAGAGAATGGAAAAAACATATATAAACTAATAAAATTAAACTGAACTGAAAACTAAACTAAAGTAGTATATTAACTGTAACACTAAATAAAATTTAAAAAGTGCACGTACTCTGAAATTTAACTGAAACGGGCTTTTTTTTATTTGTGCTACTAACTAGGTTTTAAGAAGTTAAGGCAGATTTTTTCTTTGTGTACTTCTAGTTTTTAAGAAGGTAGAATCTTACTTTTAGTCTATTTCTTCTAGTTACTTCATCACTTTTTCCTTTGTTATAAATGTTCCTTCAACATTTATTTTCCTCTTCATGTTTCTTTTTGTTGTTTTTACCACGTCTTTTTTTTATGCTCTTCGTACCAACTATCATACATGTACAGTTGTGTTCAAAATAATAGCAGTCCAACATGACCAACCAGATCAATCATTGTTTTTGGTAGAAATTATATTACTACATGGCAAATAATTTACCAGTAGGTGTAATAGAGTCATAGAAAACCAACAGATCCAACATTCATGATATGCATGCTCCTGAGTCTGTGTAATTGAATAATTAATTGTAAGGGGCGTGTTCAAAATAATTAGTTCAATTAGTGAGGTCATTCATTCTGTGAAAAAACAGGTGTCAATCAGGTGGCCCTTATTTAAGGATGAAGCCAGCACATGTTGTACGTGCATTTCCCTCTGAAAATCTGAGAAAAATGGGTCGTTCCAGACGTTCAGAAGAATAGCGTGCTTTGATTAAAACGTTGATTGGAGAGGGGAAAACGTATAAAGAAGTGCAGAAAATGATAGGCTGCTCGGCTAAATTGATCTCCAATGCTTCAAAAGCTTGGAAAGCAAAACTAGAGAGACTTGGAAGAAAACGGAAGACTACCATTCGAATGGATCGAAGAATAGCCAGAATGGCAAAGATTCAGCCAATGATCAGCTCCAGGGTGATCAAAGACGGTCTGAAGTTACCTGTGAGTACTGTGACAATTAGAAGACGCCTGTGTGAAGCTAATCTATCGGCAAGAAGCCCCCGCAAAGTCCCACAGTTAAGAAAAAAGATGTGCTGAAGAGGATAGAATTTGCCAAAGAACACATCGACTGGCCTAAAGAGAAATGGAGAAAGATTTTGTGGACTGATGAAAGTAAGATTGTTCTTTTTGGGTCCAAGGCCAGTGTTAATTTCGTTGACGAAGACTATGACGGAAAATTTTCGTCAACAAACCTTTTTCACGGACGAAAACTAAATAAAAACTAAATAAATAGTCAGATATGATGAAGAAGACTGTGACAAAATATAACTGACACTTAAGTCAAAGTCAGGGAGGGACAAATGGAGAAGAGATCCAATCAGAACTACTCTTTTGGTGCGACAAGTTGGGAAGAAATCCAATCAGAGCGAATCTTTGAGGGTAGGTTGATCTATAAAGAAGCAGCAGAGGCATTTTAAAAAGCCGCGGCAAATACAGACGCAACAGCTAAACGAGTTTGCAGAACTTCACACAGTTTCGAGGATGTTTTCACAAAAGTTAGGTTGTTTACATTATATTTAGTTGTGTTTAGTTGCACAGTCTTAGATACACAGCTTTGGCTGATTTCAGTTGAATTCGCTCGTTAGCAACACGCTAACGTTTTGCAGCGCACCCGGTCCGAGGGCATTGTCTCATGAACAACAGAAATGTCAGGGCTAGGTCTAGGACGAAAACGAAGAATTGACATCTGGTCACACTTCACATATGACAACAAGGCAAGACCGTCCGTAAACCATGTGGAGCAAAAATCGCTGGGAAAAACACCACCAACAGGAAGTGACATTTACAGACGAATCATCCAGAAATACATGCGAAGGTTAGCATACACACTGAGGTTATTTTATCAGATAAACCACCGTGATTTAGTCGACTAAAATCTGCTAATATTTAGTCGACTAAAATCTGCTAATATTTAGTCGACTAAAACTAGACTAAGACTAAAAGACTTAAGATTAGACTAAGACTAAAACTCTTATGATATTTAGTCGATTAAAACTAGACTAAGACTAAAAGATTTCAGATGACTAAAATATGACTAAAACTAAATGGTGTGTTATTCAAAAGCCTAAGACTAAGACTAAATCAGAATTTGCTGTAAAAATTAACACTGGTCCAAGGGCGGCAGACAGTTTGTCAGGCGACCCCAAACACTGAATTCCAGCCACAGTACACTCTGAAGACAGTGAAGCATGGTGGTGCAAGCATCATGATATTGGGATGTTTCTCTTACTATGGTGTCGGACCTATCTGTTGCATACCAGGGATCATGGATCAGTTTGCATATATCAGAATATTCGAAGAGGTCATGTTGCCTTATGCTGAAGAGGTAATGCCCTTGAAATGGGTGTTTCAACAAGACAACGACCCCAAACACATCAGTAAGCGAGCAGCATCTTGGTTCCAGACCAACATAATTAAAGTTAGGTTTTTTATGTAAATTAAAGAGTGGCCAGCCCAATCCCCGGACCTTAATCCGATAGGAAACTTGTGGGGTGACATCAAAAATGCTGGTTCTGAGGCAAAACCAAGAAATGCAGAGGAATTGTGGAATGTTGTCAAATCATCCTCGGCTGGAATATCTGTTCACAGGTGCCAGAAGTTGGTCGACTCCATGCAACACAGATGTGAAGCAGTTCTCAGAAACAGTGGTTATACAACTAAATATTAGTTTAGTTTAGTGATTCACAGGAATGCTAAATCCTAAAGATTTTTTCAGTTTATACAGTAAATATTTGAGTTGGTAATGAAAAATGCAGACACTGCTATTTTTTTTAACAGCCCAATATTCATTTTTCTTCATTTTCTGTAAAGTAATTAAAATATTGATACATTTTTCTTCATGTTTTGATGTACAATATAATGTGCAGTGTTCCCAATGCATGGAAATAAAAACTATTATAAGGATTTTGAGCTTTACTCACGTTTTTAAACACACTGCTATTATTTTGAACACAACTGTAATTAACAGGGTTGGTTAACTAATTCTCTGGCCCTCTACTGAAATAACTTCCCATTGTCTTTTCTATGAGATCCATCCAAAAACATTAATTTACACTTACTTTTACCCACAATTCAGTTCCCACTTCTTTTTATCAACATTCTACTCAGAAGATACGAGTCATTTCCTTTGTGTGAGGAGAGTAAAGTCTGGAAGAGGAGTTTCCTTGGAAGTGTGTTTCCATCCAGGTCACGGCACCATATTGTCGAAGAACAATAGTCGGCTAGTCACATGTCATTTGGTTAGCAAGTCTGTAAAATGTGAATTTTCTTCATCACTATTAATGCTGCAAAAGATAGTGTATGAGTCGTCTTTGGAAATAGACCAGATTTCTCAAAACGGTGAAAAAGGCTTATAAGCTCATGTCAAAGCATGTCTCTGTATCTAATAAAAAAGATCTTTCTGAGAGCAAAAGGCCTCAAGGCTCCTCCTGTCAGCTGACTAAGAAGAATACCCCTCTTGTTCTTTTGCTACCTCGTTCCTGTGTGCTGTGCCCTGCAGGCATAATACAATTATCCCACTGACTAATAAATTGCTGATTTCATTTACAGTTTCTGCCTGAAAAAACCTTATCTTACAGCAGACTGTCACAGATATGCAAAAGGTATATAAAATTAGTTCCATCAAATGACACTGCCAAGAATTTTTGTATATGTGCAGACGTTTGTGTGTGACTGAATGACATTTTACTTTCTTTAATCAGCTTTTCCTTATCATTACCAAATGTGATTTCACACGTGAGCTGTCAGATGAAGTCTTTAATTAACTTTCAGATGCTAATGATGTCGTACGGATGTCTTACAGTACATTAAGTACTATGGTATTTCTTCATGACTACCTGTTTGTATATCACTTTAATAAGCTTTTCCACCCAGCTGAGATTTAACAAGTGACAGGAAAACATTGTATTGTGGTAGTTTGTGGCATAAAAAATATTAGTTTTAAATTGTAACCAATCAGCATTAGCTGCTTTTGGTGAATATGTTTGGGGCAGAGAGTTAAAACAACCGGCTTTCGTCAACCTGCAACCACGTTCACTGATACCAGCTATTAAGATGAAGAGAAGAGAACCCACCTGGTGCGATGAAGAAGGAGGCCAGTCTTCCTCATTGACACAAACTTCAGATGGCAGACGGTCTTCATTGAAATAGATGTACAGTTCTTATGCCAGTCTGAAAACAATATGAAATAAAATAAGATTAGGTTTATATTCTTGAAAATGTGATTCTGACATGGTAAATGGATTTAAATGAAATATATTTGTTGGGTTAATATGCTCCCTTACGTCAAGAAAAAGGGCTCAAGACTCATTCCTAAAGTGGGATCAATAAAGTCTATCTTACTTACCTCGCGTCGATTTCAAACAGCTAGCTAGCTAGCTAGCAGGTGGCTCGTTAGTTGACAAGCATAAATGACAGACAGCTGGCAGGTCGGAATATCCTAGTTAAACTTTTATTAAAATAAACTAAACTGAATAAAACTAAATAAAAAAAGAAAAGAAAAGGCAAAGTCAAAATGTGTTCCCTTAACTCCGGAGAGGCAGTAGTTCAACATACCATCAAGTTCAGAGGTCAGACCTATTCAAACGTGAACTACAAAGCCTGAACAGCTCTTTATTGATCCTGCATCATTATCATTTTAAACTCGATCAACAGGGGACACCCGCTCTCTCTGTTTTATATCGTTTTGTATTTAATTATTTGAAACTGGAGAATATATAGGACGGCACTTTGTTTGTGTGTGTGTGTGTCTTTGTTATAATTGTTAAGCTGATTTAGTTTATATAAGAAGGGAGGGAAAAAATCTAAATGTTCATACTCTAGGGTCAACTCCTGCCTCAAGTCATATCATGTGGCTCCTGTATCAGAAAGAATTTCCTAACTCCTTTCAAAACAGCCGCCTTAGGACCTTTTCCTCAGTCCTCCCCTTGAATATCTGCCGCTAGCTTTGACCTGGTGAGCTGAATGAAAACTAAGAACGCACTTACATCTACTAACTAGTAAAACGTTGGGCGTTATAATGATGAAGCGTATGTGACAAGTCATGCAAAGCTGTTGGCCCGAGGCAAATCCTGCCCCAGTACTGAATAAAAGAAAAGTTTTAAATACTAAATAAACATCACGTTGACCCGAAGCTGACCTTCAGAGTCGTGCTATGTGTGTTTCCACTCCATTCACCTCCTATGGAGAGTCTAGCCTGACTAATGCCACTTCTACGTACATGTCAACGCCTTAGGCTGCTATTTCCTCCTCTCACACTTTACCATCAAGTAGAGAATATTATGTTGAATATTTTTGTGGTTTGGACTGTTTATCGGACAAAACAAGCAATTTTAAGACATATCTTATGATGGACATTTTTAACAATTTTCTGATATGTTCTAAAATAAGTCCAAATAATAATAAATAGAATAGTTGATGATAAAAAAATATTTACACCCCTATAACCAACAATATATTCTGATAATCAATTGACAATTTAAAAGATGATACCCTTTTATTTAATCGGCTATTATTACGTCGTACCCACCAAATCAATGGCTGAGATCTGCGAACACATAGACATTGGTGAAACAAAATCTGCAGAAGTAAGAAACTTGATCATTCAGGTGATCAGACAGATATACTCGGAGGTAAAACAAAAATGTAATGTAATGTCATAATGACCTATGGTACTGATGGTCAAACCTATAAAAATAAGATCCAAGTTGTAATAAACCGGAATCAGTTCCAGTTTCTCAAATGTAAAGATTTGCTGTTTTTCTCCATTTCACACTGAATATCTTTGGGCTTTTGACTATTTATGACATTTCATAGACTACACAACACTAAACAAAAACCAAAGTTGATTATTTGCCCTAATGTAAGGGAACGAAAATAGTAAGGGTCAGGGTTGCTAGCTAAGGATGAAACAGTATTCTTCCTGAACAGAATGTTGACAGTTCAGTATACCTAATGAACAAAATAATTACTGTGTAATTAGTTTAATACCTTCTAATTAATGTGAATGTCGCAGCAAATGCAGAACATAAATACCCAAATGTGGCAAAGGGCCAGTTGTTGTTTGTCAGCTAGACCGTGCTAGTCAGGTTAGCCCCTAGACGGACTGCTCATATGACAAACACAAATGAGAAAACTCAAACAGCCTCAAATACCGTTTAGTTATCGTTCGGTCTCTTATACAAACAGTGTAACCGAAGCTGGAACACATTATGTTTCTGGAAACAGGCAAAAATGCTAATTCATTTGTGATGGCGTCACCCTAATGTGCCCATAGCAGGACTTGAGCATCGCTATAATGGACCCTAAATGTTATATTTTGTATTTCTGTTGTTCTGAAAGCCTAACCCTGACCTTAAAACCAACTTACGTAATATACTGTGGATTTTGTGCACGATTACAGCCATGGTGCTTGCTGCTGGATACATTAGGCTTTCATAGGCTCTCAGTGGCAGAGGAAGAGCTGACAATGTAATGTTCAGAGGTTATGTGATAAGAAAAATAAGAAAAACAATAACAACACAGCTATTGTGCCACTAATAAAATCCATTAGACCCAGCTTAGAGGGGGCCTACATGAGTGTGTGTGTGTGCGTGTGTGTGTGTGTGTGTGTGTGTGTGTGTGTGTGTGTGTGTGTGTGTGTGTGTGTGTGTGTGTGTTGGGGGGGGTCTACACCAAATGCTTCCAACACTGTGGATTCCCGTCTGGAACATGACCTTTACAGAACGGAGCCTCCCTTATTTTTGTCTCCTCCAATCTTGATCTGGATTGCCAGCACGGTGTCTCGCTCCTCTCTCCCATCTTTCCCATCTCGCTTAGAACGGAGATGCTATTGACAACAGCAGGATGCCAGAAAAATACTCTTTCAAAAGTCATGACATGAGCTTTACTGTACAAGATTGCTGAAACCCCCTGAGGAGACGAGTAAAGGCATTTACCTCCCCGCAGAAGTTCATTCTGAGCAGGGAGTCCATCCATTTATGTAATCTGTGGACCACTTCCTGTTATGGCCACTCCTAATACCGGTCTCTGTTCCTTTCTCCATAGGGCAGAGAGTCCGTGTGTGTGTCACATACTACACAGATCTCTGCATAGTCTCTGAGAACATTTGTGTATGTGTGTGAGCGAGTCCTCCCTAGAGGGGCAAGAGCTTCCCATAAAGTCTTTAGTCTCTCATCCCACTAAAGCAGGTTTTTTTTTTTTTTGGGTCTTTCCTATCCCTGAAAACAATAAAAGCCCCTTGAGATATGATACTGAAAGAAACAGAGAGACTGTAATAGAGCCAGATATGCAGGAAGGAGAAACTGAGAGAGAACAGAGGCTGCCACGGCAAACACAGTGACAGCAAACATACCGTCACTCACTAACAAAATGAGATATTTATTTCTATTTGTAGCGCGCAATTTTAGTTTACTCCTGTACAGTCAGCACTTTGTCAGTCAGTCCAGTGCAGGTAAATACTGAGGTTTGTCAGTTGACAAGAACGCTGTACCATACAATTTTCTAAGACAAGTTATGTATATTACATACACCGATCAGCACCTGGGCACCCTGGTGGTCATCATGGTAAATGGTCTGTACTTGTCAAAGCGCTTTAACACTACACCACATTCACACTGTGATCATCAAATGCAACTAACTCATTCATACACAGTCAGGGAGCAATTTTGCAACATTTATCTTGCTCAGGGACATTCGGCATGCGGCGGGATTATCCGTACCCTTGGTTAAGCTTCAAAATTGCTTGGTTAGATCCAGGTACCAAAACTGCTTGGTTAGGTTTTAGAAAATATAATGGTTTTGGTTAAGTGATGGGAGCAAAGGACAGATTATGAATAGCAACCAAGTCCATGTAAAGAGGAGGTCTAGTTGGCTTGGTTGGTCAAACACAGGACTTTCACATGGCATAATGGGGTTTGATTTCCATGTGAACCAATAGCCAAAGTTCATTGTTTCAATTTTAACAAATGATTTCTGTTTTCTGCCATTTTGAAATATCCATTGAATGTCGTAAACGGAAAGACGTATCAACCGTGCGTATCACCAATCACACTGCAATCTCTTACCGTATTCTCGCCCTGGAACATGGCTACAACGATGGCTCTAAATACCTGTTAAATAAGTGGCCAGTCAGACTGTACCAAGTGCCTGCCACATCATGGGGGGAATTGTGATTTTTAGTTTTGAGATTTTATTTCTTCAGAAAATATGGGTTAATTGTTAAATACATAAACTGATATTCTAATTGTGATTAATTTGTAGTTTGGTCATTTGTCATTTGGTAGTGTTTGTCATCAGCTGTTATGTACATGGAAACATATTGATGACATGTATCAATTTCTTGAGGTCTGAGCAAATTTGATCAAAAGTGAGTGAGATATCAACTGTGACACATGGACAAACAATTATAAGGTTTAGCATCCCCCTGGCCCATCAGTGTTTATGCTGAAAATGCTAGAGAGCAGTGGCTGAATGCAGTACTACCGCCTGCTTTTGTTCAAATCATATTTGTGGTGTCCGAGGTACCATGGATCACAAATGTAACAAACCCAACAGAATGATATTGATTTTGTTTAGTTCTTACCAGCAAAAGATTGTGATTGTGTCAAAGAGAGACATAAAGAACAAACAAAAATGTTCCTGCTCTTGCCTTTTTTTAAACATAAAATATGGCAAGTCATACAAAAGAACCAGTAGGGCTAGGTTTTAGAGTGCTAGTGTATATTGAATATTCAGTATTCAGGTACCTGAATATTTGATCAGACTGAGTAAACAAGATTAATCTGACATTTGATGCCAGGTTTAGTACTTAACACTTCTCATCACTCTGCACTGTACATGGTACAAGAACATTTTTACATTTAAAGCTGTACCAGTCCATTTTCTTTTTACAACAGTCGGTGAATTGACTGAGTATTGTGAAAAGAAAAGGTAGAAATGATGAACCCACAGAGAATTATCACCCGCCTCTGCAGGTCCCCTCAGCCCTGTCCAACGTTTTATCACGGTGTAGCTCATTCTTTTGGTTTTATTGCCCGCCAACTTTAAAAGGCTCAGTGTGTAAGATTGAGGATCTGTTGTCAGAAATGGAATATAATATTCATAGGTATATTTTCATTAGTATATAATCACCTGAATATAAGAATAGTAAGTAAGTAAAGCTTTATTTATAT